CAGGTAGGGGACGCGGGGCGGGGCGTGAGCGCATGAACAGGCTGTGCACGACGCATGGATGCTCCTCCTCCGAGCCCTGCCCCTGTCCTCACCAGAACATGCCATCATCCCCATGGGGGGGCGCTGTGCCAAGCTTGGCTCTGGACTGTTCCATTATGGCTTGGTGGTGGGGAGGGTAGAGGGGATGCGATGTGGAAGCCCAGACTGTTGCATAGTCAGCCTTATGCATGGACCATTTCATCATCGTGGATTGTGGGGGCTCTAAGGGGCTTCAATTCTGTAGCTTAGGAGAGACACTGAGCAGCCGGTGTCCCTATAGTGGAGGGGGCCGGGCCTACAATGGACTGCTCAGTGTACCAGGGCCAAGGAGGAAACATTGGCTGTGGTGGTGGTGAGGTAGCCAGGCTGAATAAGAAATTGGGGAGGAAGAGCTACACTTTGTTCTCAAGAAACAAGAGGCGGCCAGGCGCAGTGGTTCACGCCTGTAATCCCAGCACTTTTGGAGGCTGAGGTGGGCAGATCACCTGAGGTCAGGAGTTTGAGACCAGCCTGGCCAACATGGTGAAACCCTGTGTCTACTAAAAATACAAAAATTAGCTGGGCACAATGGCTAGCGCCTGTAATCCCAGCTACTTGGGAGGCTGAGGCAGGAGAATCGCTTGAATCCAGGAGGTGGAGGTTGCAGTGAGCCGAGATTGCACCACTGCACTCCAGCCTGGGTGACAGAGTGAGACTCCATCTCATAAAAACCAAACAAATAAACAAACAAAAAAATCAAGAGGTATGAGCTGGCTGTCCACGGAGGAATTATGTTTCACTGTGGTCATAGATCACATACTTCCAGCCAGGGGGAGGTGTGGATTTTGTGCTGATGCTGAAAGGAGTGAGGGACTTGGGGCTCATCTGGAATATTGTCCTGGGCCAGATATAACATTAGACAAGTATTTTCAGGACATTGCGAGAGTGATGGCCCTTTTAGTGGGAGAGCTGCCTTGAAAGAATCCATTGTCCTGACTTGGGGGTGTAGTGATGTTGGACTGCAGTGAGACAGAGTTAAAGCAGTGCTTCCCCAAATTTAATGGGTAGTGGGGTGGCACGCACCTGTAGTCCCAGCTACTTGGAATACTGAGGCAGGAGGATCGCTTGAGCCCAAGAAGCCAAGGTCAACCTGGGCAACATAGTAAGACCCTGTCTCTAAAAAATAAACAAATATGGCTGGGCGCAGTGGCTCATGCCTGTAATCCCAGCACTTTGGGAGGCTGAGGTGGGTGGATCTCTTGAGGTCAGGAGTTCGAGACTAGCCTGGCCAACATGGTGAAACCCCGTTTATACTAAAAAATACAAAAATCAGCCGGGTGTGGTGGCGTGTACCTGTAATCCCAGCTACTCGAAGTTTGAGGCAAGAGAATTGCTTGAACCTGGGACAGGGAGGTTGCAGTGACACGAGCAGAGTTGCTCGTGCCTCTGCACTCCAGTCTGGGTGACATAGCAGACTCTGTCAGAAAGAGAAAGAGAAATAAAATTAAATTAAATTAAAAGAAGAAAGAAAGAAATTAAAAAATAAATATAATGTATATTTCAAATCACCCGAGGGTCTTGTGAAAATGCAGATACCGACTTCAGTAGGCCTGGCATAAGGTCTGAGATTCTGCAATTCCAGGAAGTCCACAGGTGATGGTGATGCTCTAGGTCTCAGGACCACTGTTTGAGTAGCCAAGAGTATATGTTGTCATGAAGAACTAGGAGACAGCTCTGGATTGGTCCATTATCCTGAGCAGAGATTGGTCATTGTGCTACTATGGGGTGGGAAAAACCTTGGATTGGGAGGTTGGACTGTACCCCTCTCATGCACAGTGGGAAGGGGCCAGAGGGCCTGATTCTTCCCTCACCTGCCCATGGCCCCAGATCCTGGCATATGGCGACATGAACCACGAGTGGGTGGGGAACGACTGGCTGCCCAGCCTGGGGCTGCCCCAATACCGCAGCTACTTCATGGAGTCGCTGGTGGATGCCCGAATGTTAGATCACCTTAACAAGAAGGAGCTCCGGGGCCAACTCAAGATGGTGGACAGCTTTCACAGGTGGGGGCTGCCTGGCCAATGGGTATAGTCCAAAGGGAAGCCCCACCCCAGAGTCTTTGGCCAATGGGATTGGCCATGGGAGATTCCTAGGCTTATCTTGGCCTTTTTAGCCTGAGTTCTCAGGAAATCCTCACTCTGTGCCCTCTTCACCAATGAGATGGTCCACAGGAAAAGTTCAGATCCTGAGATGGCTTGGCTAGTTAACCCTGTATCCCCTCCAGGCTGGCCAATAGGAAGTGCCTATTGTTGAAAATGCCTCACCTCCTGAGGGGGTCAACAGTCCACAGAACAGATCAGCTCCCCACCCTTTCCAAGAAGAGCACAGCCAGTGGGGAGGGACCCGTAGGAGCAGCAGCCAGGGGGACTGGAAGGCTCATCCGTGACTCCACTTCTCCTGCTGCTCAGGGTGAGTCTACATTATGGGATTATGTGCCTGAAACGGCTCAACTATGACCGGAAGGACCTGGAGCGGAGGCGGGAAGAAAGTCAGACCCAGATCCGAGGTAAGTCGAGTGTAAGGACCCCTTTGGGAGCCAGGTGGAGGGTGTAGAGCTGGATGGGGAGGAGAGGGGGTGGGGAGAGGCCGGAGAAGAAGATTGGCACCATAACCGAGGGGTGGGGCCAGCGTGGGGGGCATGACCCGAAGAGAGGAAATGGAGGTGTAGGTATGGGCTACACTGAACGCTCCAGGCCACGGGAGGGGCACGGCTGAGGGTCCTTTCCGTCCCCAGACGTGATGGTGTGGTCCAATGAGCGGGTCATGGGTTGGGTGTCCGGGCTGGGCCTGAAAGAATTTGCCACGAACCTCACGGAGAGCGGGGTACACGGGGCACTGCTCGCCCTGGACGAGACCTTCGACTACTCCGACCTGGCCTTGCTCCTGCAGATCCCCACGCAGAATGCACAGGTGAGCTGCCGCTGGGCCCGGAGCATGCTGGGCGTCCCCACCTCGCAGACTGCACGCTCCAACCGCCCCCTCCACCTCCTCTTTCCAGGCCCGGCAGCTCCTGGAGAAGGAATTCAGCAACCTTATCTCCTTAGGCACAGACAGGCGGCTGGACGAGGTGGGCGCGGCAGCAGCTCAGAGGGCTCTGCTCCCAGCGGCTCCTCGAGAGGCGGCGCTGAGAGGGCGGGGCCTGACTTTATTAAAGAGTTACGGTTGGAGGCGGGGCCAGGAGAGGGGCGGGGTTAAGGGCAAGGTGCTCCCCGGAGAGGGGTGGAGTCAAAGGAAGGGGCGGAGTCAGGCGAGGCCCGAGTCCCTCACCGGCTGCCCGGCTCCTATACCTAGGACAGCGCCAAGTCTTTCAGCCGCTCCCCATCCTGGCGGAAGATGTTCCGGGAGAAGGACCTCCGAGGCGTAACTCCCGACTCAGCTGAGATGTTGCCCCCCAACTTTCGTTCGGCTGCAGCGGGAGCCCTGGGCTCTCCGGGGCTCCCTCTCCGCAAGCTGCAGCCAGAAGGTGGGGGGTTCCCAAATGCGACATCCCCTCCTCGCTTCCCTTGGGTTGGACATGGACCACCTCAGTAGTCCAGGTTCTGGAATGGCCTAGTCCTTTCTCGCCCACCCCTGAAGAATGGACTGCTCCAACCTTCCGGACTCCCCCCTCAGGATGAAATGGATAAATCCCACTCCCCCTTCCCAAGGCGGGAGTGAACTCGCCCAATGCGAGTTTGAGTCGGAAGGGAGGGAAACCCATGTGGAGCCCGGCGATCGTTGTGACATCGGGAAGGGAAGTCCAAAGGGAGGAATCCTGGAGAGGAACAGGGAGGAGGGTGCTCCAGGCTGAACCGCTGCTCGCTCTCCCTCCAGGCCAGACTTCTGGGAGTTCCCGGGCAGACGGCGTTTCGGTCCGGACCTATTCCTGCTAGTGCAGGCCTCCAGGTGAGGACCGTGCTGGGTGACCTTGGGGGTGCGGGGCGGCACGGTGGATATTCATTGCTCCACGCGCTGCCCGGCGTCATGCAGGTGACCTCACTCGGACGGAAGAATCTTCCCGAGGCTGGGCTGTTCCCTCTCCTGCCTGGACTGTGGCCTCGCCGGGGAGAGCGGGCGGGGGAGCTCGCGCCTAGGACTGGACCATCTGTACAGACCAGCGGGAGTGCGCGCGCCCGCCTCGCACAGGGCCGGGGCCTGGACCAAACCACATGAACTGGACTGAGAGGGGGAAGAAGCGGGCAGGAAGAAATCCCGCCCCAAACGTCCGCCTTCCTTTTCTCTACTTTGTAATTTATTGATCAGTTTCTGTTGGGAGACGGGTGTCCTTTACCCGCGGGAAGGGGGCGGGGCTTCCCTTCCGGGCCGCATGCGGGGAGAGGCTGCCCCTCCCCTTTTTCCTGCCCAGTTGCGGGGCCCAAGTCTTCCTTCTTCGTCCGAAAGGAGGGGAGGGGAGACTCGCTGCTACAAGCCTCGCCCCCTGTGCCACTCAGCTCCGCCCCGCCGCGTCCGGTCGCCGGTCCCCCGGGTCATCTGCGGGCGGGGTCCCCTCTCCCTCCCCCGTGTCTCGTGTCCCCGGGGCCTCACCGCCCCCCGTGCTGTGGCCGTGTCCGTGCCCCGGGGGTAGGGGGCGCAGAATGGCGCTCCCCCTTCCCCTCTGGCTCCGGGGTTTGCATGGGAGAATCCTCTTTCCACGATGCCGCTGGGCGACGTGGCGTGGGGGCAGGGGGGCAGTGGGGGAGCCCTCGCCCCCATCTCTCGGTCGGCCTCCCCGCCCCAGGCGTCACTCAGTGATCACGGGTAAAGAGAACTGTTTCAAAAAGCTCCTTTGTTGACTGATTTTTTTTTTTGGTAGGGGGGCGTGTTCAACCAACCTCCTCAAGCCAGGAGTCCAGGCCCCTCATCCCTCAAGTCTAGGTCCAGGTCCCTAGAGCCTACGCGCTATTCCCTGATGCCCTGAGATTCCCAGACCCCACGTCTGACAATGAGGTTTCGGGGAGCACGTTTATTCAGAGAAATAAATATGGCTCATGGAAAGGGGTTGGAAGGCAAGGGGAGGTACACCTGTGTCGCAGTCGAGCGGCTGGGTCAGGGTTCCGGCGTTTCCAGCATGTCCGCCAGGGCTCTGGAGAGGAGGACGCCAGAAGTTAAACAGCTAGTGTTCAAAGCTCACCCCAGGACTCTTAGAGATCATTAACCTGCCCATTTCATGGACGAGGAAATGGAGTCCCAGAGTCATCCGATAACTCAGCGAGACAACCACTTCTCTAAATGGGTTTTTACACACTCTCCTTCCCCAATACACTTACTGATATAGGGAGGAGGAGAAATAGTCGACGTAGCTTCCTGTAGGAGAGCAGAGAAAAGAGGCTTGAGGGGTACTGCACGAACAAAATTAGGTGGCCACTCAGTATAGCGTGCGAGATTAGTGCTAGCGCCACCTCCTTTTCCCTAATTCTCTAATTCCTTCTTCAAACTGAATCCCTTCTGCTGGACCCCTTTTTCGTTCTGGGTGATTCCGTTCTCCAGTAGCCCCGCCCCTTCGATTCCTACTTGAGTTAACCTCGCCAATTAGGCTCTAGCCCTGCACCTCAGCCCTCCACTCATTTCTGTCCCTTGACTTCAGCAACTCCACCTGGTGTTCCTCGAGCCAGGTCCCGGCCCACGTGCTCACAGCCTTGGCCACGCCTCCTCTCTTAACCCCGCCCCACCAGCCTCCAGGGCCAGTCCCTCAGGTTTGGCTCCGCCCCCACCAGGATTCACCACGCTGGGCCTGACACCTTCCTCAGGTTTTTCCAGGGCCCCGCCCATGCTCACCTGGAGTGCAGACCGTTTCGCAGACCAGCGGGCAGAGATAGCAGAACTGACAGTGCTGGGGGTGGGGACGGGGAGAGAGAGTGAGCGTGGGGCGTGGCCAGGGGCGGAGTTAGGATGGGGCCAGGACCAGACCCGGACCAGAGGCTAGGTCTAGGTTAAGGCTGGAGTCAGGATTGCTTGTGGAGTCAAGGTTGCATTGGGGTAAGGGGTTGGGTCAGAGGCCAGGATTTAGGGGTGGGGGTCCTCAGAGGGTCCCGGTGCATCCTAAGGCCCAGTGGAGCCTTGAGTGTGAGGTGAGGTCTCACCTGGCACTGGTCGCAGTGCTCACCCATGTTCTCCTCATCACAGTGACAGTTCTCACATTCAGTGCATCGCTGGGGACCAGGGGAGCCTGGTTAGACGGAAACTCTAACCCCACTTGGGAGACACCTGCCCCTGGTCCACCCCTGCACCCTGGATGCTTCCCCAGACTCTACCCTCTTTATCTCTAACACTGAGCTCTGTATCTGCCCCCCCAAATCAGCCTCTCTCCACTCCCCTGCCCCTGGTTTGTTTCCTTTCTTCCTTCCTTCCTTTCCTTTTTTTTTTTTTTTTTTTTTTTTTGAGAGGGAGTCTCTCTCTGTTGCCCAGGCTGGAGTGCAGTGGCACAACCTTGGCTCACTGCAACCTCTGTCTCCCAGGTTCAAGCGATTCTCCTGCCTCAGCCTCCTGAGTAGCTGGGATTACAGGTGCATGCAACTACGTCCGGCTAATTTTTTGTATTTTTTAGTAGAGATGGGGTTTCACCGTGTTAGCCCGGATGGTCTCGATCTCCTGACCCCGTGTTCCACCTGCCCTGGCCTCCCAAAGTGCTGGGATTACAGGGGTGAGCCACCATGCCCGGCCCTGCCCTGGTTTTCTATCTCATGGCGACCCCATGTCCCCCACTCAGGGTGGGCTCAGGTGCTCTCTCCACCCCCTCTCTCCCTATTCTCCCCCTAGACTATCAGCCCCTGTGCCATCCCTCCTTTCCCCAACTCTCTTTGCCACAGACCCCTGTCTCTGTCCCCACACCCCAGCCTTCAGTCTGTCCTCACCTCACATGCCTGCATAAGGATCTCTTCATTCAGAACTGACCCTGGCCTGACCTTGCTCTGAGCCCTCCCACAGCACCACCCCAGGGCCCCTGGGACAGATTCTGGGGACACCTTGGTGGGTGGATCTGGGCTGGGGACATACATTGCAGAAGGAGCAGTAGCCACACAGGGACCCTGGCTGGTAGTTCCCGTACTCCTGAGCGTCCTGTGGACCTGCGGGGACAGACGGGCAGCAGTGACCCAGGCTGACTTGGTTTCTCCACACCCACACCAGCCCAGGCCATTTACCTGTGTCCTCACCGCTTTCCTCCTCACTGGAGGCACCTCCAGCCTCCTCTCTCCCGTCCAGTGGGTTGGGGATGATGGTGAAGTGGGGCTCATCTTCCTCCAGCCCCTCCTCCTCCTCCTCCTCCTCGCTGTGGTCTCGACTCAGTGGGGCCCCAACTTCAGCCCTCTCTTCTCTCCTCTCCTCCTCTTCTTCCTCCTCCTCCTCCTCCTCCTTGTTTTCCTTTTCTTCCTCCTCCTGATTCAGGCTGAGGCCATGACCTTCCTCCTCATCCTCCTCATCTTCCTGGTCCCAGCTGCCATGGTGGGTGCCTTTCGCTCCCCGCTCTGAACTTTCATCATCTTCCTCATGGGTGCCGGGGTCCTCTTCCTTCTTTTCCTCCTCAGAATCATCCTCCCTCAAATGGCTTCTATCCTTGACCACTGTGTGTCCTGGGGGGTGATGGCTCATCTCTTTGATGGACCCTCTTTGACCATGGCCAGTTTCTTCATCTTGGTGGCTTTGCCCGTGGTTGGGGACCTGGTGGGCAAGCTCAGCGGAGACCTCCTCATCTTCCTCCCTGGGGACTCTGTGGTGGTGATGGTGAGGGACTTCTGTTTTATACTCATCTTGGAAGTCCTCTTCATCACTCTTGTGGCCTTGAGGTTGGTGGCTTGCAACACGGTGGCTGAACTGGACTGTGATCTCCTCTTCTTCCTCTTCCTCATCTACAAGGCCATGGTGGACACGTTGGGGACCCTGGTGCCAATGTTCAGTGGACACATCCTCATCTTCTTCCTCGTCTCTGTGGCCTTGGTGCCTGTGGTCAGGGACATGACTGTTGTGTTCACCTGAGACAGGCTCATCCTTTTCCTTTCTGTGGTCTTGGTGCCTGTGGGCCTGGTGTCCATACTCAGTGGAGACATCATCATCATCATCTTCTTCTTCTTTGTGGTCTCGGTGTCTGTGGCTGGGGCCGTGATGATGGTGTTCATCTGAGACATCTTCATCCTCTTCACTCCCGTGGCCTCGGTGCCTGTGAGCCTGGTGTCTATACTCAGTGGAGACCTCATCATCATCATCATCATCATCATCTTCTTCTTCGTGGCCTTGGTGCCTGTGGCTGGGGCCATGATGATAGTGTCCATCTGAGACATCCTCATCCTCTTCACTCCCGTGGCCTCGGTGCCTGTAGGCCTGGTGTCCATACTCAGTGGTGACATCATCATCATCATCATCGTCCTCTTCTTCGTGGCCTTGGTGCCTGTGGCTGTGGCCATGATGGTGGTGTCCATCTGAGACATCCTCATCTTCTTCACTCCCGTGGCCTCGGTGCCTGTGGGCCTGGTGTCCATACTCAGTGGTGACATCATCATCATCATCGTCATCTTCTTCATGGCCTTGGTGCCTGTGGCTGGGGCCATGATGATAGTGTCCATCTGAGACATCCTCATCCTCTTCACTCCCGTGGCCTCGGTACCTGTGGGCCTGGTGTCCATACTCAGTGGAGACCTCCTCTTCCTCCTCCTCCTCCTCATCCTCTTCTCCTTCATCATCTTCCCCATCATGGCCTCGGTGTCCATGCCTGAGGATATGATGGCGATGCTCACTGGACACAACTTCGTCCTCATCCTCGTCTTGATGGCTGTGGCTCCTGTGGCTGGGGAGGTGGTGCCTGTGCTCAGCTGAGTCTTCCATGTCTTCACTCCCATGGCCTCTGTGCCCACGGGCCTGCCCACCATGCTGTGCAAAGACCTCCTCACCTGAGACATCCTCGTCTCCAACCTCATGGTCCTGGGACCTGTGGCCCGGGAGTAGGTGCCCATATTCCTTGGGGACGTCTTTATCCTCCTTGTCACGGTCTGGGTGGCTCCAGAAATCATGTCCATTCTCTGTGGAAACATCCTCGTTCTCATCTGGATGGTCTTTCGGGCTGTGGAGGTGGTGGCCAAGCTCTGCCGATGCCTGCTGGGAGAGCCCGGTGACTCCGGCGTTGTTGTTCCAGTTGCTGAAGCCCAGCCCGGCCCCTCTCAGCTGCTGGGTCATGGCCGGGGGGAGGAGCAGGCTGGCCACCCCAGCCCAGAGGACAGAAGTGTGCAGCCATGGCCTACGGTGGCCCATGGGGACGGACAGGCAGCACTGACTCCAGCTGCCTCTGCGGCGAGGTGGACGAATGTTGGGGTCTTTGTCCCTTTGGGGTCAGTCTCTTTTTTTCTCTGTGTCGCTCCTTTGCTTTGTCCTGTCGGTCTCTGTCCACCTTCCTCTGGTCCTTGCTGCCTGGCCCTGGACACCCCTCTGAGGCTGTCTCCCGAGCCCCCTGACCCCCCTCTGGGGCCCTCCCTCCCCATTCCCCAGCCAATAGGGTCTTTCCCCTCCCCTCTCTCTGGCTAAATTTACTCTCAGCCCTGAGTTATTCTGGGTCAGTCCCCGCCTGCCGCCTCCTGCTCCTCCTCCTCCCAGCTGGGGAGGGGACCAGTGAGGGGTCTCTCCCTGGCCAGGAGATGGGGGCCAAGGGACTTGACTTTGACCTACCAACAAGCTCATGTTTGGCAGCTGCAAAGACAAAGGCTAGACTTTTAGCAGGTTTTTGGGGGAGCCTGGGGCACCTGGGGGAGGCAGAAGAGACTTATCAGATGGGAGAGACCCCTCGCATGGAAGGACTGGGGGTTTGATTGTGGGGTGTTTCCAGCCGGAATGACACACGCTGGTGAGACAGTGATGCCAATGTTGAGGCCCTGGAAGTGGGGGAAAGGAACATGGCCCTCAACACACGTGCCCATGACCTCCTGTCCCTGGAACTCAGATCTGGGGGCAGGGACTGGGCTAGGCCAGGGCTATAAATACAGCTGGGAGGGGTAGGGGGACTCAGGTTACGGAGGCTGCAGCTGTCCCCGTCACAGAGGGCTGGCAGGAGACAAGTGGCCTTGCCCGTCTCTGTGTTTCAGTATCTCCTGCTCCTCACCGGTCATGACTGCCCCCACTAGCGTCTCCCTTCCTGTTCACAGGTCCTCCTCTCTCTTCCATTCTGTCATCTGCTCTCTCAGGGTCCTTGTCCCTCTTCCGTGGCATTGCCTCTCCCTCTCACTCTGGGATTCTGTCCCGCTCTCATCTGAGTGTCTGTCCTCCACCCAAGTCTGTGTCCCTCTCTCTCACCTGTGCCCTCTCCCCTAAATCTCTGGCCCCTCCTTTCTGAGTTCCTGCCCTTTGCCCAATTCTTTGGTTTTTGCATCCCCCTCTGCCCCTTGCCTCAGTCAAGGTGTCTCCTCCCCATCTCTGGCATCCACCTCTCTGGGTCTCTGTCCCCCACTCTCTCGGAGTCTCTGTCCACCTCTCCCTGGGTCTCTGTCCCCCTCTCTCTCTGGGTTTCCCTCCCTCTCTCCCTGGGTCTCTATTCCTCTCTCTGTAGGTCTCTGTCTCGCTTTCTCTGAGTCTCTGTCCCCCTCTCTGGGTATATGTCCCCATCTCTCTCTGGGTCTCTGTCCCCTTCTCCCTGGATCTCTGCCCCTTTCTCTGGATCTCTGTTCCCCTCTCTTTCTGGGTCTCAGTTCCCCCCTCTCTCTGGGACTCTGTCACCCTCTCTCTTGGAGTCTCTGTCCACCTTTTCCTGGGTCTCTGTCCCCCTCTGTCTCTGGGTCTCTGTCCCCCTCTCTCTGGGCCTCTATCCCCCTCTCTCTCTGGGCCTCTATCCCCTTCTCCCTCTGGGCCTCTCTCCCCCTCTCTCTCTGGGACTCTGTCCTCCTCTCTCTCTGGATATCTGTCCCCCTCTCTCTGGGTCGCTGTCCCCCTCTACCTGGGTCTCTGTCCCTCTCTCTCTGGGACTCTGTCCTCCTCTCTCTCTGGGTCTCTGTCCCCCTCTCTCTCTGGGTCTCTGTCCCCCTCTCCCTGGGTCTCTGTCCCTCTCTCTGGAGTCTCTGTCCCCTCTCTGGGTCTCTGTCCCCCTCTCTCTGGGTCTCTGTCCCTCTCTCTCTGGGTCTCTGTCCCCTCTCCCTGAGTCTCTGTCTCCTTTCTCTGGGTCTCTGTCCCCTCTCCTGGAGTCTCTGTCTCCATCTCTCTCTGTGGGTCTCTCCCCTCTCCCTGGGTCTCTGTCTCCATCTCTCTCTGTGGGTCTCTCCCCCTCTCCCTGGGTCTCTGTCCCCTACTCTCTGGGTCTCTGTCCCCCTCTCTCTGGGTCTCTGTCCCCCTCTCTGTCCGGCTCTCTTCCCCTCTTATAGGTCTCTCTCCCCTCTCTGTCTATCCCTGGGTCCCTGCTGCCCCACCTTCTGATTCTCTGTCCCCTAAGTCTTTGCCTCCCTCTTTTTGGGTTAAATTGTCCCCTCCCCGTCTAGCATCCTCCGAGTCTCTGTTCCCTCTCTGCCACTGGGCCCCAACTCCTCTGTCCCCATCTCGCTCTTGCCCTCAGAGTCTCCCCTAGCTGTCTCTGGCCCCCTACAGCCCCTGGCCTGGGCCTCTGCACCCCCTAGGTCGCTGTCCCTCTGTCCCCTTATCGCGGCCTGGGACCCGCCCTCTCCCCGCCTCCCGCTTTGGCGTCTCCAAGACTCCCCGCCCCCCAGACCTCGCCCCGCCCTAGGCTGGGCTGGAAAGTGGAGGATCCGGTTTGCCCTGGGCGGGTCTGGAAGCTGAGCAGGCCGAAGGAGCGCCGGGGCCCTGGGCTGCTGGAGGCTCTCTGGGTCTCTGTCCCCCTCTCTCTGGGTCTCTGTCCCCCTCTCTGTCCGGCTCTCTCTTCCCCTCTCCCTGGGTCTCTCTCCCTCTCTGTCTATCCCTGGGTCCCTGCTGCCCCACCTTCTGATTCTCTGTCCCCTAAGTCTTTGCCTCCCTCTTTTTGGGTTAAATTGTCCCCTCCCCGTCTAGCATCCTCCGAGTCTCTGTTCCCTCTCTGCCACTGGGCCCCAACTCCTCTGTCCCCATCTCGCTCTTGCCCTCAGAGTCTCCCCTAGCTGTCTCTGGCCCCCTACAGCCCCTGGCCTGGGCCTCTGCACCCCCTAGGTCGCTGTCCCTCTGTCCCCTTATCGCGGCCTGGGACCCGCCCTCTCCCCGCCTCCCGCTTTGGCGTCTCCAAGACTCCCCGCCCCCCAGACCTCGCCCCGCCCTAGGCTGGGCTGGAAAGTGGAGGATCCGGTTTGCCCTGGGCGGGTCTGGAAGCTGAGCAGGCCGAAGGAGCGCCGGGGCCCTGGGCTGCTGGAGGTTGCGGCGGCCGCGGCAGCATGGTGGTGTCAGAGAAGGAGCAGGTGAGCGCCGGACCCGGGTCTGCGGGAGCGTGGAGCTGGGGACCTAGCCTCCAGGCTCCCAGCGCTGGACACCCAGATTCCTGGGTCAGACGAAGGAGGGGGATGGGAGGGTCCGGGTTCCAGGGTCCCTGGCAGGGGGGTCGAGATTCCTGAGTCTGGAGCAGGAGGGCGCTGGGGGCCCGGACTCCTGTGTCCGTGGGGAGCGCACAGGGTGGGTGGCTCTGTGTCCCATAGGACAGAACTGGGTGCCCCCCACCCCACTTCCACCCCTGCACTTGTTTCTGTCCCCAGAGCTGGATCCCCAAGATCTTCAAGAAGAAGACCTGTACGACATTCATAGTTGACTCCACAGATCCGGGGTGAGGAGTTCGCCCCTGGACTGACCCCAGAGGGTCCGCAGCCCGCTGACCCCGCCCGCGGATGGCCACGCCCCGGCCACGCCCCTTCCCCATTCCAGGACTCGGGGACCTTCCCAAGGGCGTTCGCTGCCGGCTCTCTCCCTCTAGGAGCGTTTGGGTCTGTGTAGACACCCCCCACTCCCCGTTCGCTATTCTCCCGCTCAGGGTCAGTGTAGACGCTCAAGGGCTCGGTTCTGCTTCTTTCCTCCCCGATGTCTCTTCTGTGTGCCTTTGTCTCTTCGTGTCACTTTCTGTGTCTCTGTCTTTCCCTTTTGGGTATTTCTGTTTCATTCATTAATTTATTCGTTCATTCATTCATCCATCCATGCAAGAAACCCTCACTCAGTGCTCCCAAGGGAGGAGGTCCCTTTAGCCTAATTCAGCGGCCCTGCCAGGGTTCAAATTTCCCAGGGACACGTGCTGTGTGGCTTTGGGCAAATCATTTCACCTCTCTGGGTCCCGTTTCTCACGTGGGCATGAAAAGAGGCTTGATCTCCCGGGGTTATTATGAGGATTAAACAAGTTAATGCTTGTGATATTCCTGGCACAGTGCTCAGCAAGAATGCTGGCAAGTGTCTGCAGCTCCCACTGGGAGGTGGCAATTATTACCGCAGGCAGGCGCTGTGCTTGGTGGCCGGGGACACCACTTGAGCTAGATAGGGTGTATGCGTCGGTGAGGAGCTCCTGCCTTTCAGTGATGGCCTCTCAAGTGGATCCAGGCTTTCTAGTTTTTTTCTTTTCTTTTTCTTTTTTTTTTTTTGAGACAGAGTCTCACTCTGTCGCCCAGGCTGGAGCGCAGTGGCGCATCTCTGTTCACTGCAAGCTCCGCCTCCCGGGTTCATGCCATTCTCCTGCTTCAGCCTCCGGAGTGGCTGGGACTACAGGCGCCCGCCACCACGTCTGGCTAATTTTTTTGTATTTTAGTAGAGATGGGGTTTCACTGTGTTAACCAGGATGGTCTCGATCTCCTAAACTCGTGATCTGCCCACCTCGGCCTCCCAAAGTGTTGGAATTACAGGCGTGAGCCACCGCGTCTGGCCAATATTTTTTTTTATTTTTTATTTTAGTAGAGGTGAGGTTTCACCGTGTTAACCAGGATGGTCTCGATCTCCCGACCTCATGATCTGCCCGCCTCAGCCTCCCAAGGCGCTGGGATTACAGGCGTGAGCCACCGCACCTGGCCCAGGCTTTCTAGTTTTTTTTTTTTTTTTTGAGACAGTCTGGCTCTGTCACCCAGGCTGGAGTGCAGTGGCGCGATCTCGGCTCACTGCAACATCCACTTTCTGGGTTCAAGCAGTTCTCGTGCCTCAGCTTCCCGAATAGCTGGGATTACAGGTGCCCACCACCACACCCAGCTAATTTTTTAGTAGAGATGGGGTTTCACCCTGTTGCCCAGGTTGGTCTTGAACTCTTGACCTCAGGCAATCCACCTGCCTTAGCTTCCCAAAGTACTGGGATTACAGGTGTAAGCTACCGCGCCCAGCCCTCTAGTTGTTTTTCAAGACAGTTTTTGGGGTAGGGGAAGTATCCACATTCCTACTTCAGTGTGTATTTTGTTATGACTATATATTAGTGCAGTATTGCTTGTCAATTGTGGATAAACAAACAGATATGCGCTTGTTGGATGTGAGTGCTCAAAACCTTTTTACTGATGGGACAGCGTGGTCAAGACAATTTAGGAAACTCTGGTCTGACCTGAGGAGGAAGAAATGCAGAGGATAATTATAGTAAGGCAAGGGGTTGCAGCTCCCAAAGACGAGCCACTGGGCTCTGTGGGAGCCGGGAGGAGGTGTCTGCTTAAGACTGGGAGGGGACACAGGGTGTCACTAATGGTTTCTGGAGGAGGAAGAGTGGCTAGTGAGGTGACATTTGAAAGTGGGCTGGAGAGAGGCCCATGGAAAGCGATTTGGGGCCGGGCGTAGTGGCTCACACCTGTCATCCCAACAATTTGGGAGGCCGAGGCAGGTGGATCACCCGAGGTCAGGAGTTTGAGACCAGCTTGGCTAACATGGTGCAATCCCGTCTCTACTAAAAATACAAAAATTAGCTGGGTGTGTTGGCGCACACCTGTAATCTCAGCTACTTAGGAGGCAGGAGAATTGCTTAAACCTGGGAGACGGAGGCTATAGGGAGCTGAGATCATGTCACTGCACTCCAGTCTGGGTGACAGAGCAAGACTCCATCTCAAAAAAAAAAAAAAAAAAAAAAAAAAAAAAAAAGAAAGTGATTTGAACAGCATGTGCAAAGTCCCTGCTAAGGACCATATGGTTCGGCTCGAATATGAATCAAAGTTCAGGGTGCAGGGAGCACTGTCAAGAGAGAAGAGGCCGCAGAGGAGGGCACGGCCAGAGCTTGCAGGGTGTCAGAGGCCACCCTAAGGGGCTAGGACCTTG